ATAATTCAATTCAATTGTATAAACTATAATAAGAGACCGGTTTGTAATAATCTATTCATAAATATATCCCTCAAATCTTCGTCACTTTCTCTCCGATCACTTGTGGATTGTTTTTGCGGATCTCTTCGGCGCCGTGTTCTCGATAGTCAAACGAACAGTTGTGTTCATTGGCGTACCGGTGAGTACTGCAGAAAGTGCCACCACATCGACACGGAAACCCTATTGAGACCAAGACAAACCAAACGCCAACATTACTCCACTATCAACACAACACACGCAACACGACAATCATTAATGCTTACCAATGACGCCCACATTTACTTTACATTTAGTGCATCGGTTCTTCTTTTTCTTACTAGTCCGAGGCGGATCGCTTCCATTGGCTTCCGTCTCAGGTGTTTGTTGCGATCCAGTCGTCAAATCTGCGCCACCGTTCCCGTGAACCACAGCATTCGCTTGAGTACTGTTCTCTTGGTTTGCAGAGCCCTTCAAATCAAACCATCATTTCATTCATCAATTCATTAACAATATAACAATAGTCTTATAGCTAATGACAAACATTGTGTGAGATATCAATGGACTGGCTGTCAGTACTCGACCCCAACTCACTATTCGAGTCTACAGTGAGAGAGTCGACTGAATTGTTGGACTGCTTTTTGGTGGCACGACTGCCCCCTTTAGCACCGGGCCCTGTCTTACGCTTCTTAGCACTGTTTGGGCTTTTGTTTGCCTTTTTCTCATTTCGTTTTCTTTTGTCACACATTCTATTCAATGGGTTCTTCACTAGAATGTCACCTCAAACCAAATCTAACTCAAGACTTCAAGTCAACTGCTTTAACACTTAATACTAACTAACGGCTAGGTTTTGAATAAATAAAAGCATTCATTGAATAAAAAGAATATAAATTGTACTCAAAATATGAATGCATTTCATTGTTGTAAACATGATTTAATCATTAGACCAGAGATTGGCTAACATTCACACAACAGTATCTAATGTTTAATTCCTGACTCACACACACAGTTGTCATACATTAGATTGAATATACACTCAAGTGGTGGCCATACCTCTGGTTTGGTAATCATTTCTTGAGCGGAGTTTAACGCAGAGGGAACAGTAGGTGAGGCTGTGTTGAGGTTGCTGTTGAAAGTGGCCAGAAGTTGAGTGGCGGAAGTGGTGTCCAATGAGGTGGGCATAGATATGGGACTATTTCGGCCGGGGGTCGAGTGGGATGCGGTCTGTGAGGAGCTCTGAGGGGCCGACTGTTTCCGTTTGACGGCATCCTTATAGCACTTGGAGCAGAGCCCGTCCGACGAGGGGTTCCCATAGAAGCCACAGCCCGAGCGGCACAACGACGGGCTCTGAGACATCTGATTCGTGTCCCTCTCCATGTCCTCCATATAATCAATGGCTAATAATTAACGCGTCGATGCGGTAGATATACGCTCAACACCTCTACGACAGACAACTGTATATAAAAGAAATTCAATTAATTAAAACAAACATTACTTGTGCAGAGGTTTCTGTGATACACGAGTCGAGGCAAAAGTGGGACATAATATGAATTAATAAAATTGCTTTTCATAGCGAAAGGCGAACATAACATCACTTATAGAGGACTCGTTCCTATCATATGATTTCCAGTCTTTATCTTTCATACGAAACACAGCATAGCTTTCAGTGAACACAAGGCCATTGAATACGAGTTTCTACTCAACTCTAATGCATAATCAGTTCACTATTCAATTCAATTATGAAATCAACGCATTTCTCATTACAAATCAATTTACAGTTATTTCACTTCATATGCGACACAACATATGGCTATTAAACCAGTAATTAGTGGTCAATAAGCAATGTAATAGTCTATTACACTCCAGTCCATTCAATTTGTGATCACATTTTTACTTTAATTTCACCAATCATTTGCATTAAATTGTTATTACTGTTAACTATACCTATAATAACGACATTACAAATGTAACGCATATTCAAATAAAAAGCAAATCAAAACTAAATCATTATAATTAAGACTTTAAAAGCAGTTCAAAAAATAAAGACTTACAGTATTAAGAAGTTTACAAGTAATTAGGCGTTTGATTGAGAATTTGCTTAAATGTTAGCAAATAAACATACAATTCATATATGAATGTATGAAATAATGTAATAAAATAGGAAAAAGCGTCAAATGTTGAGTGTATGTAATAATGACTCATTATTTACTGTATGTATTATTCAAGACATTGAATGCATTGAAGGCAATACTCTTCATATCTATTATTTCAGACACTTTTCACGTGAAAGACGGATAAAAACCTCTGAAATAAATGACAATTTTTGGCACCAATTCATACTCCACTCACTCTTTCGCTAAACTGTTATTTCAAATCAAAGGCACTTTATGTTCAAAATAATGTCTAATTCACGTAAATACGAGTCCTATTCGCCATTAATTCATGTGTTAATTAACGTGAAAACAAATTTAAATGTGTTTCGCCTCTAATTGAATGGGAAGTGAATCCTTGAATTGAAATACAAGACTCAATACCACAGACTTAACACTCAATTCAATGCATGTCTACAATACATATCTAAACACTTTTAATGGCATTCATTTAAATACAATTAATTCACACAATCATTGAATACAACATTTAAGTGACTTTTCAATTCATACCTAAAGCTATCGATAAATAGGTTTACAATCAAAGAGTTGTTTACTATAACTGTATGTTTAGTCTGTATTACGCTTTCAATTGAACGCATTATTACCACTAAATTGTGTCCAATATTTCAATCACTCATCACATCATTAATCTATGGCTCAAATGAAACTCAATTGCTCTTTGTCTCGGAGACTATATTATAAGACAATAGATAATCATTTCAAATGCTAACCATACATACCATGACTAATACATTGACAAAAAATATGACTAAATATTCATAATTATTACGTACAGTATATTACATATGAATACATGTATCATATCTATTATAGCCATCATTATGTCATTAGTGGCCAATCACTCACGACAATGGACTCTCATTCCCATTACAATTAGTGTATTGTTTGAAATTAGTTTAAATAAATCAATGGATTTGTAATACAAGTAATGTTTAAATGCATTCAATGTAAGGTTAAGTGATTTGACGACTCATTCAATACATATGAGCCATAAAATGGCGAACATTTCACTCATTATTAGCACACATTCAACACATTTACACACAATTCATGAATCAATACAAACACACAATCACATCAAACACACGGTTGGATATAATACTAAAGACTGAATCAAGTGATAGTCGGGTCTGAATAGGAATTAGTGGTGAAACGGATAAGTTTCGGGAGTAATGAGAGAAATGTACTCAAAAATGGTTACCTTTTCAGTGGAGTTGTGTTGACTGCCTGTGAATGCAATGCAATGAGTGGTAGAGTACTACTGGAGTACTACTGGTGTAGTGTTGTGCGAGTCTCGCAGTGCGTACAGAGAGTGC